TGGTTGTTGGACTTAATTTATTGTTCAAGATGAGACAAAATGACATTTTTTATTTTAATTTAAAAAAAATATTAAGCCAGAAATTAGTTTAAAACCTAAAAATGAATTAGTGGTCCAGTTTGACCTATTATCACGTAATATTTATCTATATAATAAAAACCTGATAAATATAAATAAAAAAAATCATATAATATGTGAGTTAATTAATTATATTAGTCGACTTATGTGTGTTTGGTTCGAAACTTGGATATAATTTATCAGGTCAAAATGAAAGCAACTAGGTGTAATTTCGGCATTACAGACATGATTTTATGATCTAATTCATTTTTTTTTTTGTGTTCAAACAAGGATTTATTTTAACTGTAATGTGTGACATGTAAGCTACAAGAGAAAATAGAGAGAGAATGAAGTATAAATTGATCGATTATGAATTTATGATAATCATATTCATATTATTAAACCAATATTTCAATAAAATAAAATAAATAAATAAAAACAATGATGAGATTTTATTGATTTGGTTCAATTGATTGGGATCTGAACATATAAACCAAATTTAAAAGTACAATTGATTTGGTTTAGCTTGTGGATTAATCCAAACCAATAAAGACTCCTGCCGAAGATTTTGGCACGTGAACATTTAAGCAGAAACACTCAAATCATTTGTAGCAAAATTAGTGGTTTCCTCATGTAAAAAACTGAATCTACCTAATTGTATTTTTATAACTGGATAAAAATTAACAATATTTTTTTTATTAAAAATTACTTTAGAAACACATTAAAAATCATGAAAGAGTATATTAATTATAATTTTTTAATTTCTTAATCACTGTCTCAAAGACATTGATTTCGACTCTCCTTTAGATTTATTATTCTAAATCATTACCGAAATTCCACTGCTTGCCGAAAGTGCTCTGTTTGATAATACATAATTACGTTCTTTCTTTCCCCACATGATGTTGATCGCACCAAATTTTAAAAAGAATGCGAAGCTATGATCAACTAGCATTTCTTGTATATTGGCAATATCTTTTTTCCCGAGAAATCCATGACAGTTACCGAATTACTATTGTAATAGAAACCAATTCTTAATTTAACCTTCGAGTATTAAGCAATGTTTTTTCCAATGCTGTAATATAATTGAGCATTTGATGGCTGAGCGGTGTCTTTTGGCTGCATTAGTTGTCTGCCATAATCAGAGACTGAAATCTTGAACCTGCCTCTACTGACAATTAGGCAGTTTCACAAGAGCGGATTTGTAAATTGTAACCTAATTGTTCCATTTTCATACTCTTATTTGATGTAGAGAAAATAGGCTTATCAGCTCATGTTGTTGTGCTAAATCTGTAATCCCAAAGAATTGTAAGGAAACCAAACGTTTAACAGTTGTAAGCTACGCGCCCCATGGCAACATCAGGCACAGTATTCTTTGCTCATCTCAGAGTCAACTTCGCTCTATTCACATTAAATTGGTGTACCGTGGTGGTCTCCCATTGGCCGACCCGAGGCATATTGGCAAAATGACGAGCCCATAATAGGGATCCAAGTATGGGAAGATTCACTGGCTCACTCAGACAATCAATAAGATCCCACAATCCGTGGGAACGATAATAAATACCGGGAGTTACGAGTCCATAATGAGGCGTGATTTATGGGATCATAAAGAGGAGTGTGCGATTCATGTCTGTAACGCTACACCATTATATATAGCAATGATTAGGTCTAAGAGGGGAGGTTACTCTTATCAAATGTTCTAGGTCAAGATTGTTGTCAAGTTCTTTTAGTTCGGTATCGCTAAGGGTTCTTCGGCGGTGATCTCCAATACCGGAACATTTTGGCGCCCACCGTGGGGCAGGTAAAACTGCATCCCACACCTTTGTTGTTTGACGTGAGCAGAAGGTCGCAATGACGAGGATTCTGAGAAGCAATGCGACAGGAGCTAGTAACGACGACGTCAATGGTGCCATAACTGGGGGCGCCGGCAGAAACCGCCGCCGGAGGCCACACTCTAGAAGAAATCTTGGCCGCAATAGAAACCTTGCAACGAGAGAACGAAGAACTGCGAAGCAGAGAAGGAAAATGTCGTCGATGATGAACATGTTTGGGTGCGAGGTGGTGAGGGCTCCGTCGCAAGCATTGGGGATTGGGAAGAGAAGCGGTGGAGGATTGACGATAGTGTGTTCGTCTCAGCCTCAGAAGAAAGCGACAGCGCATCATAGGAAGACGCGGCCACGGAGGACGCAGCCGTGGGATATAAATCGGAAACCTACGGTGTACGATCCTCTGCCTCCTCTTCCTCCCGATTGAACGCTCGTTATTCCCGCCGATGCTTCCGCTGCTCCTCCGCCTCCAACTCCTGCTCCTTAGCCACTACTCGTCTTCTAGCTTTGATTTTCTTCTTTTTTATACACAAGTTCAATCATCTCAGAGATGACTTTGACTGGTTAAGATTGCCAAATTTAAAGAGTAAATTAAAATTATACTCTGAACCTTGGTGTGAATAGCACTTTAAGGTCGGCATTTTGACGTTCCGAACCTTGGTGTGAAGAGCGTTTTAAGGTCGGAATTTTGACGATCAAGACCTTGGTGCAAAGAGCACTTTAAGGTCGGCATTCTAACGATCCGAACCTTGGTGTGAAGAGTACTTTAAGGTCGAAATTTTGACGATCCAAACCTTGGTGTGAAGAGCACTTTAAGGTCGGAATTTAGACGATCAAGACCTTGGTGTGAAGAGCGCTTTAAGGTCGAAATTCAGACGATCAAGACCTTGGTGTGAAGTTAAGGTCGGCATTTTGACGATCCGAACCTTCGTGTGAAGAACACTTTAAGGTCGAAATTTTGACAATCAAGAGCTTGGTGCAAAGAGCACTTTAAGGTCGGCATTCTGACGATCCGAACCTTGGTGTGAAGAGCACTTTAAGGTCAGAATTTTGACGATCCAAACCTTGGTGTGAAGAGCACTTAAAGGTCGGAATTTAGACGATCAAGACCTTGGTGTGAAGAGCGCTTTAAGGTCGGAATTCAGACGATCAAGACCTTGGTGTGAAGAGCGCTTTAAGGTCGGCATTTTGACGATCCGAACCTTGGTGTGAAGAGTACTTTAAGGTCGGAATTTTGACGATCAAGACCTTGGAGCAAAGAGCACTTTAAGGTCAGCATTCTGACGATCCGAACCTTGGTGTGAAGAGTACTTTAAGGTCAGAATTTTGACGATCCAAACCTTGGTGTGAAGAGCACTTTAAGGTCGGAATTTAGACGATCAAGACCTTGGTGTGAAGAGCGCTTTAAGGTCGGAATTCAGACGATCAAGACCTTGGTGTGAAGAGCGCTTTAAGGTCGGAATTCAGACGATCAAGACCTTGGTGTGAAGAGCGCTTTAAGGTCGGAATTCAGACGATCAAGACCTTGGTGTGAAGAGCACTTTAAGGTCGGCATTTTGACGACCCAAACCTTAGTGTGAAGAGCACTTTAAGGTCGGAATTTAGACGATCAACATAAATCAAGTCAAACGGTGCGCCCCAAGTTGCAACCCAAAGTAGGTCAACAAAATGCCTATCTGACATGCTCTTCGCACCTTAGTGCTCGAGCATGGAGAGCTATGTACCATGATGGTCTCCCACAGATCGACCAAAGTAAGTCGGCAAAATGTTGATCCAACATGCTCTTTGCACCTTAGTGCTCGAGCATGGAGGGCTATGTACCGTGGTGGTCTCCCATGAGCCGACCCGAAGTAGGTCGGCAAAATATTGATCTGACATGCTCTTCGCACCTTAGTGCTCGAGCATGGAGAGCTATGTACCATGATGGTCTCCCACAGATCGACCAAAGTAAGTCGGCAAAATGTTGATCCAACATGTTCTTTGCACCTTAGTGCTCGAGCATGGAGGGCTATGTACCGTGGTTGTCTCTCATGAGCCGACCCGAAGTAGGTCGGCAAAATATTGATCTAATATGCTCTTCGCACCTTAGTGCTCGAGCATGGAGGGCTATGTACCGTGGTGGTCTCCCATTGGCCGACCCGAGGCACATCGGCAAAATGACGAACCCATAATAGGGACCCAAATATGGGAAGATTCATTGGCTCACTCAGACAATCAATAAGATCCCACAATCCGTGGGAACGATAATAAATACCGGGAGTTACGAGTCCATAATGAGGCGTGATTTATGGGATCATAAAGAGGAGTGTGCGATTCATGTCTGTAACGCTACACCATGATATATAGCAATGATTAGGTCTAAGAGGAGAGATTACTCTTATCAAATGTTCTAGGTCAAGATTGCTGTCAAGTTCTTTTAGCTCGGTATAGAGTTCTTCGGCGGTAATCTCCAATACCGGAACAATTGGATATCAATGTCATTGAAATTTAAAATATCAATGGAATTGCGAATGATAAAAGAAACTAGTGGCTTAGAGTTAGAGTGGCCTCAGCAATTGTTTATACTTTGAATTTAAGCAGCATTTACTAGCCCAGCTTCTACATTATTCTAAACCGTTATAACTTATAACCAAATTCATTCTTGCATCATCGTCTATTAATTTATTTATTTCCGCTCCTGGGCCACCGGAATTTTATAACCCCTTCCGTTACCACGAGTCCTTCAACTGATACATTTCAAAGCAATGATGAGGTTCATAGCCCATTATTTCAACGCTTGATGCATGAAAAAGATTTTTTCTTGTTCTATTCACTATACCAGTAAGCAAATCAATCTTATCTCTCGAAACACATGGGGGCCACTTCCTACTAAACTGTTCGTTGCTCAACCACACTTTTTTATCTTTAATCAGCATAGTATTACTGCCTATTATTGTCCTCATCAAGTTACGTTTCTTCAAATTAGAGATCTGCCTGTTTTGGGACCCGACATCAAAACTGAAACCACCATGGATTCAGTAATATTCCCTTCACTAAACTAATTTAACTACTTTCAAATTCACCAACTCATTCAAATTGAGATTTTGCATTCAAGAAAATATATTTATAAATATGAGAAGATTTAAAGGATTTTATTTATTTTATTCTAAACTTCTTGTTGTTTTGTTTTGTTTTTCATACTAAGCCAGGAGAACAGGACCAAGAGATGACGAAAAAAAAAACAGAAATTTCAGAATTTTTTTTTTTTTGCTTTGTTTTCCCCTCTTGGTTCTTCCGCTTCTCAGAAAGGAATTTCATTAGCGGCATGAGTCCTCTCACTGTACATTAACCAAAATTATTGCCTAGATAAAAAAACATGGAAAAAAAAAACGTTTTTTTTTTCTTCTTTTTTTTTCCCATTTAGAAGCGCGAACAAGCATTTTACTCATTTTTTCTACTGATACTATTTACGAATCGATCCTGCTAATCCCAATTCGCTTCACGGAAGCATTCCTAAACCCATCATCAGCTGCATGAAAACACATCCCATTCTGCATCTCCATATAACTCCTCACCTCTTTCCTTATCATTTCCTGCATCACAGCCAAAAATTCCGCACTTAAATTAAACGGCCCCATCACCGGCGGCGGAGGCACCGGAGCCGCCATCATTGGCAGCAGAGGGATAGTATTTGACGGCGGCGGAGGTGGCGGCGCGGCATGATTAGAGACTTCAGAAGAGTCGGCGCCGGGGAGTGATAGGGGAAGAGAAGGTGGGGGGTCATTGGAGGACGAGGTGGTTTCTACGGGCGGTAGAACCGGGCCGGGCCTAGCGACGGGCCGGTAAACGTGGGATGGGGACGCAACGGGTACACTGGACTCGCTGACATCGGATCCGGAGGGGCTGCCGGGAGTGGGAGGGTTGATGTAGAGTCCGGTGGAGACGGGTATGGCGGCGCCGGCGCTGACGGAGCGTTTGAGCGGTTGGATGTCATCGATCATGGCGGAAGAGCACTTGCGCTTCAAGGTGGAGTTCCAGTGGTTTTTAATCGCGTTGTCGGTTCTGCCGTGGAGGAGGCGGGCTATGGTGGCCCACTTGTTGCCGAAGCGGGCGTGGGCCCGGATTATGGTGTCGTCCTCTTCGGGCGTGAAGGCCCGGTGCTCGACCTGGGGCGAGAGCTGGTTGCACCAGCGGAGCCTGCAGGACTTCCCTGAGCGGCCCGGGATGGACCTGCTGATGAGGGACCAGTTCCTGGGCCCGTGCTTCTCCACGAGCCTCTGGAGAGCCTCGTCCTCCTCCGGGCTCCATGGGCCTTTGATCCGGTCCATGTCTTTTCTGGTGACCACGACGCCAGGGTTCATCTCCTTTGGTGGTGGTGTATGTGTGTGTGTGTATCGAGCGTTTCGTTTCGTTTATATGTGAGAGGGATGGGGTGTGAGGACACCGGTTTGGCAAGTTAGGTTTTGGAGTTGTCAGCGAGCGTTATGGGCATTCGGTACCGCTTCTTCCAGGGAAGCGGTTAGCTTGGGATTTGGGATACAGCTGTCATTTGACACGCGTCACTTCTCAGCTTCTCTCATTTACACAACTCTCTTTCCTCTTTCAAACACAAACTCAATTAAATAAACACACGCAAATTATTGCTTATTTCCCCATGCAACACCCCGCGCGTCTCTTTCACGCGCAACGCTCCACCTCATTATAGCCTCCACCTTTGTCTTGGGAATAGAGCCTTTTATTTTATTTTTTAAAAGTGAAAGTGTCATTCACGATAGGGGAGAGGAGGTGGAATAATTGGACAAGTAAAACAGTTCTGGAAGTTAATACTGAAAGAGGACGCGGAGGACCAGAATTTTTATGTTAAAACTAAAAACAAGATTTAAAATAAAAAAAAAATAAAAATGAGATAACGGTTGGAGTTGGGTGAGGTTGCTTCCTTGGTTTGGTTTGAGTTTGACTGAGGAGTCCAGGCTGTAGAGCATTTTTAAGTTTCGTCCTTTTGTAGGAGGGTGGGACCCATGGTAGGGTGAGGTGGCGCAAAACGACAAGATTGGTCGCCGAATCAGAGGGCGAATCATTACTGCTTTTCTGTCAGTCCAGCCTGTATTCTATACCTGCCACCCCCACCACCATATCATCCTATAACGGCCTATTCCTATTCTATCTCTCTACCTTCACTCACACGTGCCACTCACTTCCATTTCTCCTTTTAAACAACACCTGCATTCCCTGTACGGAACCACACTTTCCTCTCATCTTCCTTATTACCCCCAATTGCATAATTTAATATTCTTCCCTCTCTGCAAATTGTTCAATCAATTTTAATATTTCCAAGCCCACGTATTTGTCAGTGTAGAAAAAGGTTATTTAAATTAGTGGAGGATTAGAGAATGGATTAAAGAAAGGTTTGGGGAAAGGATTGTCGGATAGGATGGGGTTTTCAAATGGGAAAGGAAAGATATCATAATTGTGATCAAACAGATCCGTATCCATTTCTGTTACTCGTACGTCGTACATATACTACCCACCGCGTGGTCCTCTTCTTTCATTTATTTGTCTCGCTACACAAATAATCAATCTTTCATATACTCTAAAAAAAAAAATATCTGCTTCGCCTGATTAACTTCCTCAATACTAAACCCGCAAGAGCTTGCCTAAAAATTATAATTCAAAGTAACTAAAGTCAAGAGCTTGCCTATGAGTGAATGCATGTAATTAATAATTCTTGGTTTATAAGCGTGATTCAATAACTAGGATATGCCAAATCTGTCGTTTTAATTGGCCAAAAAAAGATGACACTAGGGAGATATAGGGATGGTAGAATTAGCAATGGACAGATAAATGACAGGGTTGGGTGATGATTGATAACATCACAGTAACCATAAATTTAGATCTGCATTCACCAAAGGAAAATTACTAACACGGTAACTTGATTGGCAAACAGGTTTTTTTTTTTAACTCAGCAGACAGAGCATTCTTTTCCCAAAACAAGAAAAGCGGATACGGAGAATTGTACTTTGGCAGCATTGAAACCGTTGCGTGGGGACAGCTGTAATTAAGGGTATTAACCGAGTCACTTTAAAAAATAAAAATTAAAAAATAAAAATCTGTTTGATTCATATTCACAGTTCACACTCCACCGCTCCAGTGATTTTATTTGTTGATGAATCCTTTTACACGTGGTCAGAAGTTGATCACGTGCTTGAGCATCGAACAAAGCAGACACACGTGGCACCTGCACCCCTCGAAGCGGCAAAACAACAAGCCAACCCAGGAGAAATTACTAGAATACCCCGTCGTCCAGATATTTCTAGCTATCAGTTCAGTTCCCTGCTTCACCGGGAATCGTTCACCATGATTCCAGTTATGTTTATTTGTACCTGTATCTAAAGGATCAGTAACAGGATTCATAAATTTTTAGCAGTGGGATAGTAGCCGTACATTAAATTTATAGTATTAAATATATAACATGATTTTATCTTTTATAAATAAAAATATACATTAAATACTTTTTATCAAATTTTATATTTAAAAATATTAAATCATATTTTCATTTTTAATATTTTTAAAAACCTCCATTCCTATGTAAATAATTGAATAATTATTTATCATTTATATTTCATATCAAAATTTTAACTTTTTTAATGTATTATAACATGAGTTCTCAATAATGATCACTCCTTAATTTTCTTATTAACTTAATTTAATTATAATTAATAATTTTTTATCTCATGATAAATATCATCTTCTATTATTTTATATAAATTAAGAATAAAAAAAATTTGGCATTAATTTTTTTACTGTATAATTAATATAAATATATAATATACCTACTTTCTAAAAAATATTATGAAAGATATGAATGAAAAATAAATCAACACCATATTAAAAATTTTATGATTTTTGTTTTCAAACTTATTTTTTCTGTATATATGACACTTATATCATAAAAAAAAATATTTAAACAAATTAATATGTTAACTTTGACTTGTTTTTACAAAATAAAATATAAAAAATAGTGGAAACGCTTAATTTTCAACATAGTAAATAAGAACACATTATTAAAAATTTATAATATATGAATATATTTAAAAAATTAAATATAGTAAATATTAATGGGGACATTTACCTTCATTATTATCTATGTGAATTCGTACCTATTTTTTGTTTTCATCTTTTTTTAGATGATTTTACTATTAAAATTTTAAATAATAAAAAATTATATTGAAATTAATCATCCCGTAATTTAGTCTCATGAATCACCCATAATTTAGTCTTATCTATGTGAACTCGTACCTATTTTCACATAAAAAAAATTTCTCATTTGTTTTCAAATCACGGTGAAGAACAATCTATATGAAAATGTTACATGTTAAGGACCCTACCAACTCCAAATATTTTTCCTATCAATTTCATAAGGACTCATATTCAAACCATTCAAGTATCTATAAGCATATTTGATCGTAAATCGCTTATTTGGATTCAACCTCCAAAAAGGTAGGTCATCTTTATACTAAAACAGGAGAAGGGGATAAGTCTTGATTTCCTCGAGATGAGAAAACAGAATAAAGGAATCAAATCGAGTTGATAATTTACATACTCCACCACCTTATAGTTCTACATAGGCTAATGGGCCCCTAATCACGAATTGTCGCATAATACTCGTTTTTTGGGATAAACATGATATTGATATTGTTGAGACCTTCAATAGATCGAGAGTTAGAGAAAGTCTCACGAACTTGTAAATAATGATATTATAATTATTGTGATGCTTCAATTCATAAATCACAACTTCATGAGCTCTACTATGTATCCATTATGATGTTGTCTTTCAATCGAGTCAAATGTTAATAAGAGAGTCTCGATTAACTATAACTCAAACAGTTATAATATTTTTTGGGTTAACATTTTTTTATGCATTATTTATGAGTTAATCACCTACACACTATTAATGTAAATATTTTTTACACTAGTAAACAATTATATTTTTTAATTATGCCATGTCACTGTAAACACATTTACTTTTAACAGTGACATGACACAATTAAAAGATATAACTGGTTGTTAGTGTAAAAAAACTTTACACTAGCAATGTATAGGTGATTAATTCTTATTTTATTAGATAGGACGTCAATGACATTGTGATAATAACAACAAAAATTTAACTAAAGAATCATGACATAAGCTCAAATCTTAATGTCACATGCATTTTTACACAATTACAACTACTAAACTAATCTTTAACGAAGCAAAGACATTTTTTCTAGATAAAATTATCCGCAAAAAAAAAAGTGATTTCAAAATAATTTTCCTCACTTTGGTAATCATATTAAGTTATTTTAGACTAAATTGTAATTTTGATCCTCGTATAAACATCAAATATGCAATTTCAATCATTCAAAATTTAAATCGACAATTTTAATCCATTGACTTTACAAAATTCACAAATTCATCTCTTCATTCATTAAGTGTTCACTCGTGAATAGTTAAAATTATAACGTTAATCATGAAGTCATAATATAATATTAAATATATAACATAATATTAATATTTTATTAATATCCAAGCTAAATTTCTTTTTTAATTATCATTTTTTATCACATAAAAGTGATAAACTAGGTGAAAATAAGAATTAAATTTGTAATCTAATATAAATATAATTATTTATTAATTATCATATTATCTATGTAATATTAGACTATTACGAATATTATAATTTTAATAATTATTAAATAAACATATAACGAGTAAACCAAATTACATATATTATAAATTTGAGAGAGTAAAATTGACGATTGCATATTTTATATTACAAGATTAAAAATATAATTTAGCGTTATTTTACTTGGTTTGTTTTCTTCTTCAAAATTTGGTGTCTAACAACTTATTTTTTCCTTACATGGACCGTCTAAAACCAGATTATAGGTACGGAAAGTGAAAATCCTCCCCGAATCACCCACGAGATAATGGCTATCGTTTTATAATTACGATAATCAACCTGTACTATCTGTACCGTCATGCCGAGCTCGAGTTTGGTATTACAGCGCAGGACGACTTCGGACATGTTCTGGGTGATTTCGGTCTAGGCGAGATCCGCTATCTGATCAGATCGTAACTGATTTCGGGCCCAAAGCCCAACACATTCCTAATTCACACTAAGGTACGTGCATTATTTATACAAGACTCACACTCATCCAAACCTTAACTTTGGCATCGGAGTCTTTTTTACAGGTATCATCCCCATCTTAGAACATCAAGCGTACCAGCGAAGGAGACTCACCGACCTTACCCAGTGAATGAACACAACCCAATTAAACCAACTTGTGAAGTTAAGTCGAGTTTTTTTTTTATCAATAAAAATCAAACTTATACTATGAAGGTTTCCAATATTTACACATTTTACTTAACTATTTAAATTAGACTCCTCTTAATAATTAGATTTAATTATGAAC